AACCCCCTTCCCCTCCCCCTTTTCTGATGAAGGGTCTAGGCCCGAAACGTCAGCCTCTCTGCTCCTATGATGCTGCTTGGCCTGCTGTGTTCATCCAGCCCTGCATCTTGTTGTCTCGGATTCTCCAGCATCTGCAGTTCCTACTATCTCATGACGTAGATGGTAGTGGTTTATTTTGATCCAGATATTGTTCATTGAGCTCTCCTGGAACCATAATTTTTAATTACTTTTCTAAATTCCTCATTCCACATCATTCTATTTAATCATGATGAATGGTCTGTCTCTGTGGAACTTACTGAAATGTAAACCTATATTGCCTCAATAATTCTTGATCATTTCAGACTCAGAGCTTATAAAAGTATTTGAAATAGTGCAGGGAAAAGCCTGATACTACTTTTGATTATCTGGCAGCACTTGATTGTATTGTTTTAATCAAAGGGCCAGAGTTCAGTAGCTGCAGCAGCATTGAAAGGACGTAGGTATAATCTTCTGAGTTTATAGTACTCCCTATCTCAAATGCAATGGGAAGTAAATAGCAAAGGTTGCATAATCAGAAATGGTTTCAACAATGTCTGCTTAAAATTCCTTTTTACCCAACTCTTCTCATTGGATTTTATGTAAATCTTGGCTCTCAGGTCTAACTGCATCAATGGAAGCTCTGAGCTCAAAAGAAGATAGTGTTCCTGAATTAAATGTTCTCATGGTTGGTGCTGGTGATAGTCGACATCTCTTAACAACTATTTCCCGAACTCATCGCTGGCCACGGAGAAAGATTAATGTAAGAATGAGGGGAGTGCAGAATTTTTAAATATGTTAAAATGTTTTCTTCTTTCCTCCCCTGAAGTGTTGATTCTACTGAAATCTCAGACAGTGGATGTTGACTACTTGGTCAGTGTGTGTCATAAGGCTATTCAACTTAAGAAGCTGAGGTGACCTTACGTCCATTTATGTCTGCACTTTTTGCTAATTTGTTCTCAATTGTCACTAATAAGAACACAGGTCATTATTTTCTCTCCCAAGTGACTGAAACCACTGCAATTAATATGGGAGAATTACAACTAATGGCCAGTTTTCCCTGTTGTGGTCTCATTTCTTACTGGACAGCCACAATAGTCATGGAGAGGTTTTGAGCTCAGCATCTCTTATGGCTGAAGGATACAAACTTAATAACAATGTATAAATAACCATAAATGAACAACTATTGGCTAGTTACAGCCACAGACCCCAATAGATCAATCTTTTCATTTAATGTGGCTGTTTTTAAAACAATCAGCTGATGGTATAGTCTTATATGATGATCAACATGTTCTGTATCTATTTATATATTTTACAATCATATTTCATATTGGTTAACATTTTTATATTCTTTGTTTTGCTAGTTCTACATTGTTGAGAATAATTTGGAACTTATAGGTCGACATCTTCTTTTTCTTACCATTGCTTTGGAACCTCCAGAACAGATGGGTTTACAAGGTAAGGCTTTATTCACTGCCTGAGAGTAAACTAAAACAAACTACCATCTAATTCAGTTGTAATGGTGCTTTCTTTCATTTTAATTTTTTCCAGCAACTGAGTCTTGAATGTTTTTTCCCTTTGCTGATTTTACAGAAAAGTGTGAACTCCTGCTTGAGTTGTTTGGGAATAGTCTAATACGGAATCAGACTGCAACCTACCTGCAGGAGAAAGCTAACCTCTTCATCCACTACATAACAGATCTTGACTTCCTTCACAAGAAACTACCAATGACTGACATGTCTGGCCTGAAGGTAGAAAGCTCATATAGTTGCTCGTAATTTTCTCTCACATATCCAAGCCCCTCCCAAAGCCATGCTATTTACTTATGGAGGACAACACTTCTTTAAATGTTATGACACAGTTGCAGTTTATTTTCCATTGGAAGTTATTCATTGATATCTCATGGATCAATAACAATATTAATTTTTTTAAAATTCTCATTTCACCTTACTGTTACTAAAAACATGATAAATAACATTTTTATTTCTTTATTAACTCATGGGATGTGGGAATTTCTGACTAGGCCAGCATTTAATGCCCATTTCCAGTTGCCTTTGAGAAGATGGTGGTGACCTACCTTCTTGAACTACTGTCTCTGCAACCTCTTGAAATGTGAGCCTCCCATTATGTTGCATTGATAAACTTTAATCAGTTTGGTTATTTGAGCTAATTTGTCTTTTTTCATATTTTCTACGGACAATATTTGAAGGAGTGAACATATGTGGAAATCAGATTGTGTTGTACATGAATTTAGATGTACAACTGTTTTCTGAAGAGATTTTCCAAATCACTTTAGCCATTCCAATAAAAATAAATCTGGAGATAGTACTATTTACTTTTCCTCTCATTCACCTCTTTTCCAAGCCTATGGAGGTTGACTTCATTGTAAATATATTTATTTCCCTCTATTCTCTTAGCAATTGTCTCTGTTCCACTATTGTATACAGGTTGATACCACTGTTAATTTATTCATCCATCCTCCTCTGTCTGGCTGTGAGCTTTCTGTCAGATTATTTTTCAGATTATTCCCATAGCTAGTGTTCCAAGGTTCTTGTAAAAATTTGCAATTTAAACCTCATAATTAAAGTTTTTGTTCACACTAAGTGAATAAGTTAGGTTGCTCTCTCCAGTAATACCAATTCTCTTTAGCATCAAAGTTATGTCCTTTGGATTCAACCCAAGCTTGAACATTATGCATAAGGAAGATTGCATCATAAGTCATCTGGGATTCACTGGTTGCATGCTACCATGGCTTACAGCTCACATGCTAAATGAATCTTTGGATAACATCTTTGAAGTTTGATACTCTGATGGATAAGCTGTTTAACAAGAGTTCTTTGAAATAAATGAAATTTCTGTAAGAATTTGATTTTCAATTTTAGGATTCTTTCTTGTACCTTTGCAGTTTAAAGAGCGAGATCAGTTGGAAGCAATTTTTAAATTCTGGAGGAATCCTGATCAAAAGATCTTTCAGATCAATCGGATGTGGGATATGCGAAACAGGCAATACTTGGGCAACCGATATGACTCTAAGATCGGTGTCTATGATTGGGACTTGCATATGAAATTGTATGAGCGAGGGGTAAGTATTCAAGTTCATGGGTGGGTGATGCACCACTTCAATATGTGCCCTAATTGTCATGCATTAAAACCAACTAAGATATTTTGTGCTCAGAAGACACAGAATTTTCTCATTCACTATAATAAATTTCTCACGTTTAAGACATGGATCTAATTCAAATTTCAGTATGTTATAAACAGGAACTTGAGCTTCAGCTGATTATTTTGGCAATCCGGCATTATCATGTTCTGAATAAATTAACATGTTAAAAGCTTTTTCGGTGGTTGGTGTAAATACTGCATCACTGTAAGCCTACTGATTTGTATATCAGTTTGCATTTGAACAATCATAGTGATGGTATTGACAGTTTAGGACACGTGGAAAGCAGGAAAATCAGTTTGTTGGAAACTTTGCAGCGCAGATTGAGACATTGGGCCACACAAAACTGAGACATTGCAGGGCCACATTAGGAGGGAGTGAAATGAAAATGATTATTTACATTTTCCATTGAACATTTGAACCTAGGAAAGTTTCAAATGGGAAATATTGATGCACAAAGTATGTGTAGAACTAAGATTTTTAACATATTACCAATCAACCTCCTTTTATGTTTCACTGAGAAACCAAGACCAATTGTAATCTTCAGATGAGGCAGCATTAGAAGCTGGGGAATAATTTATTCAGGACACAGACACAGAAACAGTCTCTTTTTTCAAATAGTTGATTTTATTCTTATCTTTATATTTCCATTGTAAAATTCCTATATGTGGCTGACCTTGCAGAAAGTTTTCATTCCACAGGTTTTTGTTTTGCTGTACCAGAAATGAACCATAAAATGCTGTTGTTGTATTGTCTATATTACAATATATTAATAATTTCGTCCTGTTATAGGCTCGTGTAATAAACAATCGACAGTACTATCAATGGAGAGATAAAGGCTTGGCATTTGAAGTTCGTGAAGGGCTGTATGATGTTCCAAACAAATCACTGGCTTCTGGGCTGCTAATGAATTACGTACGTCACTATAAGTCACATATCTGCATTGTAAAATTAATACAATTTTGAAGATAGACTTGGGTAGAAAGCAAAAACGCATACATGTAACTTTTACATGAGGAGCTAGCTTTTTATAGGTATTTGCAAGGAAGCAATGATCTTATAGCATTACCATGTGTTTTAAACAATAAAGATAACAAATTAGTTTTATTGACCTGTAAAAGTTGGGTCAGGAGTGCTGGCCGGGAAAGCTCCCAAAGTACTTACTTTAATGTCATCACATTTTCCACTCATTTCATGTCACAAACACTTGAATGAAGGTATCAGATGTTCTAATTTTCTTCCACTTCATTTACTCAATAGAAATGTACGTATCGGTTGAGTTTTGGAAGGGGCAGATGAGGAAATGTACCCATCATGAAGGAAGGAAAAAGATTTTGTTTGGAATTGACTGTATAATTTTTCTCAGGCAAGGGGCTGGGTGAATAGAAAAGGTGATGTTAAGGATCTTACAAAAAGAGACGCAAAGATGGTGGGGGCCACAGACAGTGAAACCATAAAACGAAAAAGACAAGACCAATGGAAAGAAAGGCTCATTGAAAGTGGTAATAAAACTGACACCATAAACAGAATATAAGCATACTAAGATAGCCATGGGGAGACTAATACGAAGAGAAAAGACAAAATTAAAGACTAGGAAAAAAGCAAAGATATAGTGACAGGAAGTATCAGCACCACTAGCAGAAATTAATTTCTGTAAACTCCTCAAGAATATTGCATTCTCTTTTTACAGAAAGGTGAGAAAGTTCCTGCCCGTGGCTACTGGGGAGATATTGTCACAAGCCCATATATCGCATTTGGAATTGAAACTGAAGAGCAATCCTTTCTAAAGACAGCAAATGGTGTCCATGTAAAGGTGACAAATCAAATCATTCTACTTTACTGCCATTGTGATAAGCTTTTCATTTTAGCAATCCCATTACAGCATGAAGGAACTTGATACCTACGTGATATGTAAGTGTTTAGAAATCCTGCTCCTGGAGTTGCACTGAAAAGAAAGCAAGTTTCAATTCCGGCACACCTGTCTGACATTTGTTCCCTAGGAGCCAACATGTCCCTCTACCTACCGTGAATGCCAGACTAAGGGCATGTTTATGCCACAGGCCCATGCCCAATAGAAACTGAGATGTCACTGAATTTCAGTTACCTAGTGTCCCAAGTGATTTCTGTATATATCAAACTTCTAAATACAACATGCATTTTCTAAAATAAACAAATAAAAGCTGAGAAAATAATTTGAGTGGCTGTCTAAAATCCCCGAGTGAATATGGAATGTTGTACCTGAAGAATGTTGAGGGAACTTTAGGCAGCAACATTTCAAAGGGAGAGGTGCAATTCAAAAAATTGAACTGTGATCTCCACTGACTCCAGACATGACATGAATCAGAAGCAAGGCAGTTCTAGGTAGAAGACGTATTTGTGTTTTACCCTTTCAAGAAAAAACAAGAAAGGGATTTTAAAATCCAAGTACAACTCCTGATCCCTATGTCCTAGGAAGCAAGAGCTACCTTGCGGTTCCACTGTACTAAAGAATGCTATGAAGGGACACAGCTCAGAACTCTCACTAGATACCCTCTCGAGTGTAGGTAAAAAGAGAACAAGTGCTCAGTAAATCCTGGTTAAATGAAATTGGACAAACTCCTTCATCTGACTGTAGAAACAACTATTCAACTGCCAAAGTCATCTGTACCAGAATCACACACCTTAACACAGAACATAGACATAGAAGATAGAACAGTACAGCACAGTGCAGGCCCTGCGGCCCGCGATGTTGTGCCGACCTATTATCCTACTAAGATCAGTCTACCCTGCATACCCTACATTTTACTATCCTCCACGCACCTATCCAAGAGTCGCTTAGAAGTCTCTAAAGTATCTGACTCCGCTACCACTGCCGGCAGCGCATTCCACACGCCCACCACTCTCTGTGTGAAGAACCTACCTCTGACATCTCCCCTATACCTTCCTCCAATCACCTTAAAATTATGCCCCCTTGTAATAGTCATTTCCGCCCTGGGAAAACGTCTCTGACTATCCACTCTATCTATGTCTCTCATCATCCTGTACACCTCTATCAACTCACCTCTCTTCCTTCTTCGCTCAAACGAGAAAAGCCATAGCTCCCTCAACCTTTCCTCATAAGACCTGCCCTCCAGTCCAGGCAGCATCCTGGTAAATCTCCTCTGCACCCTCTCTAAAGCTTCCACATCTTTCCTATAATGAGGTGACCAGAACTGAACACAATATTCCAAGTGTGGTCTAACCAGAGTTTTATAGAGCTGCAGCATAACCTCACGGTTCTTAAACTCAATTCCCCTGCCAATGAAAGCCAACACACCATATGCCTTCTTTACAACCCTATCAACTTGGGTGGCAACTTTGAGGGATCTATGGATGTGGACCCCAAGATATCTCTGTTCCTCCACACTGCCGAGAATCCTGCCATTAACCCTGTACTCTGCATTCAAATTCGACCTTCCAAAATGAATTACTTCACACTTTTCTGGGTTGAATTCAATCTGCCACTTCTTTGCCCAGCTCTGCATCTTGTCAGTGTCCTGTTGCAACCTACAACAGCCCTCCACACTGTCCAGAACTCCACCAACTTTCGTGTCATTGGCAAACTTGCTAACCCACCCTTCCACTTCCTCATCCAAGTCATTTATAAAGATCACAAAGAGCAGAGGTCCCAGAACAGATCCCTGCGGAACACCACTGGTCACCGAGCTCCAGGCTGAATACTTTCCATCTACTACCACCCTCTGTCTTCTATTGGACAGCCAGTTTTGTATCCAGAGAGCTAAATTTCCCTGAATCCCATGCCCCCTTACTTTCTGAATGAGCCTACCATGTGGAACCTTATCAAATGCCTTGCTAAAATCCACATACACCACATCCATTGCTCTACCTTCATCAATGTGTTTTGTCATATCCTCAAAGAATTCAATAAGGCTTGTGAGGCATGACCTGCCCCTCACAAAGCCATGCTGACTATTTCTAATCAAACTGTGCTTTTCCAAATAATCATAAACACTATCTCTCAGAATCCTCTCCAATAATTTGCCCACCACAGAAATAAGACTGACCGATCTACAATTTCCAGGATTATCCCAAACAGCTGCAAGATTTCTCAAATCAAAAAGACAAATCAAAGTCAGATTCATATAATCTTTTTATACATTTATACTTTGGGCTCATCTCTCATTTCTGTTCCGTGTACATGTCTGTCACATTTCATTATTAGTTGCTCATACCTTAGTTGATAATAAACCGAATCTTAACTCAAAAAAACTGGTTAAATTGGCTCCTTTTAAAATATAAGTACATTTAAGCGAGGCAAAATATCCGTGAGGCAAGGAATCCTTTTTAAATTAGCATTGTTGCAACCAACCAAGGTGGGGGGGTTGAATAAAGAAAGGTACACAGTTCTTTCGTCCTCACCCGGGATCATGATGAATTGGGGATCCTTGCCTGGGACTAGTCATAACACTAGTATCAAGATAATAACTGCTCATGGCACATCTCCATTTGTGCATAATTATATCATTTGTATATAATAATGGCAATACATTTTTTAAAAAGATCATATTTCTGCTCTGTAGACAGCACAGGATATCTCTCAATATAACATAACAGCCTTGCTCCATGAGCTAGTTGCTAAGGAGAAATATGCACTGCCAACAGAAAAGGCCACCTTGAGTGAGATTACAGAAGAGGAAGGCGAGACAGAGAATGACTCTTCTAACATAAAAAATGAATCGACTCATACACATCAACATCCAGAGATTGTGACGGAGGAAGGAACAGTGAAGCAAAGCAATGATTTGGATGACACAGACTCTAGTGGAGGCCATTGTGCAGCTGAATATGGTATGGTTTACAGCAGAGCTCAGCAACAAAACCTAGAACATTAATCCTGTGGTTTGTTCATAATTGTTAATAATTAACAATTATAAGTTAACAATGGTTAATAATTACATATGTCATAAAATTAACTTATCTTTGATTTATACAAGTTGCATATTGAAGAGGTTAAATGAAGGTACGGTTGACTTCCATTATATATCTCTGGGTTAGTTCAAGACATCAGTAGAGTAACAGTGCCAAAAACTTGTTTTACTCCCATAACTTATTTCAGACTTCATGGTGCAAGATTGTAGGTTCAAGAAGGCACTTCCATAGTGTAAATTCACATCAAACTTACCTTGTTTTCACAATCTTTGCATAATTTGTTTGTTTTTGTGATTAGTTCAACTATGGTTCTGATAGCATCTGTAGTTTCTATTTGTTCACTTGACGAGATGTAAGAAAATTCCAGTTCCTCAACTTTTTTTTTTCTTCCCTCAGATTATCTCCCCTTGCCTGATGTGAAGATTCATTTTCTACCAATGAACTGTGTAACAGAGCTTCATAAGAAGAACAATTACTGTGAGAGGTTTAATGTGATCTACTTTTCCTGCAGGTAAACTGGAGACTACGGGCCAGAGTTTTGCTCTTGGGACAGGCATTATATAGCACACACAGGAAATTTTCTCACTTGGTACACTTATCACCTTTTAAAAAGGGATTCCCACGCCATATCTTTCATTCTGAGAAGCAAGCTCAGAGGCAGCCATTGAGGTGGAGGAGTACCATGGCAGCTGGGTTAGAAAGCCAGCCTTGCTTCTCTGAGAAATTTGTGTAAAAGGCTGTCAGACCCTCTAGCCCTCACCTCACCCCCTGGTTCCACATTTCCACAATATTTTCATGCCTTCGCCATGCCATTATGTGCTTCTATGCCTTCGAGGGAGATGGCAACATAGTGGCAATGTCATTTGAAGAGGAATCCAGAACTCTAAATTAATGGTGCTTAATGGGAGGTCGGTTCAAATCCCACCATAGCAGGTGGTGAAATTTGATTCACTGAAAAACTGGAAGAAAAAATGTGGTCTAATGGCAACCATGTCACACTGTTTATGGGTAACCATCTATTAATGCCATTTAGGGAAAGTCATCTGCCATCCTTACATGATCTGGCCTACAGCAATGTGGTTGACTCTTAACTGCCTTCTGTGTAATTAAGGGTGGGCAATAAATGCTGACGTAGACACCAATGCCCATCCCATGATTGAATTTTTAAAAATCCCATGTCACCTCCATACACCTTCATTTCCAAGTCTTCTCTGTAGTCACTCACCCAGTGTCCACTATTGACAGATCCCAGGAATGAAGGGGGGAGTGAGAAGAAAACAGTCTAAGAGAGCTTTCAATCATATATATTTGATACTGGAAATAAACTCTCATTCACATTTACTCACCACGTCAGAAGTGTCTAATCTTTTAATGGCCCCTCAAAACTGTCAACCAAAATGTGTACTCAGCTACCTGCTGAGATAATTGATTTGGGAGTTTTTGAAACTCAGCCAAGCATTCACAATGAATTCACAAAGAGCCAGGTGGAACAGAGGAACCTAGGAGTACAAGTACATAGTTTATTGAAAGCGGCGTCACAGGGTGGTGAAGAAGGCATTTAGCATGCTGGCCTTCATCATTCGAGACATTGAGTATAGGAATTGGGACATTATGTTACAGTTATATAAGTCATTGGTGAGACTGCACTTGGCGTATTGTGTACAGTTTTGGTCACCCTGTTATAGGAAAAAGACATAGTTAAACTGGAAAGTGTGCAAAAAAGATATACAAGGATGTTGCTTGGACAGTAGGCCTGAGTTATAGGGAGATGTTGGCCAGGATGGGACTTTATTCCTTGGAATGTAAGAGAACGTAGGGTGACCTTATTGAGGTGTATAAAATGATGAGGGGCAGAGAAAGGATGAATGCATATAGTCTTTTTCCCAGGGAATTGACAACTAGAGGAGATAGGTTTAAGGTGAGAGGGGAAAGGTTTAAGGAGCTGAAGGGCAACTTCTTCATGCAGAGAGTGGTGCGTATATGGAACGGACTGCGTACAATAGCAACATTTAAAAAACATTTGGATAGGTACATAGATAGGAAGGGTTTATAGGGATATGGACCAAATGCGAGCAATTGGAACTGGCTGAGTTGGGCCTGATTCCATGCTGTATTTCTCTATGACTCTCTAACAGTCTTTGGGAAATGTCAACAATGAAGTCTATTGAAACTGCAGAATGGGATAGTATTTTTTTTTCCTAAGGTACTGCAGATGGCCTGCCAATAAATGTTGTCCCAAGAATGTTTTTTTTTCACTCCAACAGATGCACCCATGATTTTGTTTTTCATTTTTAATGGGCGGAGGATTGAAATCACTTCAAATCATTACACTTAAACTGATCCTGTCCACCAATGAAGACCATTTATGCCACCTCCATAAAATCATCATTTCATCACTGTGGGATAAAGACTTGGGATCAGTAGAATAGAGTCTAATGGAATTCAGCATTAATTTCAAATGGCTAAGTGGCCATAGGTTTCCTACCTGTGTGATTACTCAACCCTTGCCTTTGTAAACAGAAATAGAATCTCTACACCTTGTTATCTCAGATTCTCCAGCATCTGCAGTTCCTACTATCTCTGGAATCTGTTGGAAATGGGATTACTATATCTGGGTTCTGCCCACCATCTTTAAAGACTTCCTGTGTCTGATACTTTGAGTTTTGTTTCTCTGTATGTGTATGTTGTAAGTAATTATTTCAACAGCTCAACTCCATTAGTGCATATTTTTGCAAACATTCTGATTTCCTCTTGTGAGCCTTTTTTTTTCCTACATTCTTCCCTGACACTTCATGTGGAATCTATTCCCTTTTACTGTCTTATGATTTTGCATTTTCATGATCCCAGCCTCCCACCACAACCCCACATTTACTATGGCTAGCTCACCTAGCCTGCACATTTTCGGACTGTGGGAGGAAACCTGAGCACCTGGCAGAAACCCATGCAGATACGGGGAGAACTTGCAAACTCCACACAGACAGCCACCCAAGGTTGAACTCAAACCTGGGTCGTTTCTGCTGCGAGGCAGCAATACTAGCTACTGAACCTTTGCGCTGCCTGCATTATCTTAAGCTTCCCATTGATATTCTACTTCCTCTTATTGTTTTATTTAGATCATGCAATGTGGTATCACTGGCTAAGCTATCCCTAATTGGCCAGAGGGCAGTTAAGAGTCAACCACAGTCTGGAGTCACATGCAGGCCAGACCAGGTGGTAGTGAACCACATGGGGTTTTATGACAATTGCTTTTAACTTCGTTTAAAAAAAAAGTGCAGATTAAAATTCCATCATCTGCCATGAGGGAATTTGAACCCATATCCCCAGAACATTAGCCTGGAGCTCTGGATACTAGTCAAGTGGCATTACCACCATATCACCATTCATTCATACTATTACTTGTAATTTGTCTCTTTCTGTACCTTTCAATAATCTTTTTCTAAAATTTTCCTCCTCAGTATGCTTCACCATTTAAAACCAGAGTTGAGGCAGATTGCTGCACCACGAGCAACTCTAATTGTGGAATTAACAAAGTAAGTTTTTTGTGGCTTCTGATATTTTCCTTAAATAGTCCTTACTCTGGTCATTGACAAGATTTTTAATCATTTTCCACTGCCTTGCAATGCTTTGGTACCTTTCAAATGAAGAATTGGTGGCCACCATTCCAGGACAGGGATGAGCATTTTTTTTCTTTCCAAGGGTTTTGCGACTCTGGAACTCTCTGCCTGAGAAGGCAATGGAGCCAGGGTGATTCAATACTTTTAATGCAGAGGTGGATAGATTCTTGTTATGCAGGGAAAACAAGGATTATTGGGGGTAAATGGAAATGTGGAGTTCAAAACACAACCAGTTCATCCATATTCTTATCGAATAGCGAAGCAGGCCCAAGGGGCCGAATGTTTCCTTCTCTTGTTTGTAGTATTACATATGACCCATGCAGAAACCCATCATTTCTTTGAGGGTCTGAACATATATTGTGTATTTGCTTGCCCAATGTATGAGGCATTACATCTACCCATGCTGAGACTCCATTTGCACAAGCATAGGTACAGATCAACAGAATCAAAGTTTAATAAACTGAAGGACTGCGTGAATGTAAACAGCCAAAATTAAGCTGTCAGATATGCTTCTGCTCATTCAGCAAGAATCACTCTATTGCAGTACTGGTGTCAAAGGTTACTTGCAGCAGCTACTAAAGCTCCATGCTTCCAAGTGCTGGAATATTCAATTGGTTTTGCTAAATATCCATGCTGTAAAATCAGGTGAATATTGTAAATACATCCATACTGTACAATGAGTTGCATTTCAAACAAAGTTGCTCATGATGAGCTACAGGTATCCAACTGACTGACCCTTAGTTGGGGCCTAGAATAAATAACTCAGGCAAAAAAAGTTTGCAGTGAACCACCACCGAACCAATGTAAATGTTAGACTTACCCTGTACATTATAAGTATGGGATTAACAAATACTGTTTCTCAACAATTTTTATGAAGACTTTGAAACATTCCTACTGTACAGGAGCAAGTTCCTGCCTCTGTTACTGTGACTTGCTTTGCTTGGAAGAGAGATGTGGAAAGGTTTAAAATTAAGTGTCACATTTTTGTTTCACCAGGTTTATGCTAGATCTGCGCAAGGAACTAATGACCAAGTTTGTCAGCCGTGCAATGGAAATGGCAAAGGAGGCAGGCTTTATGCCTTTTGGGAACATAGATGATGAGAAAGACTTGTTTGCACGTTTTGAATTAAAGGATGGTCCATATCTTTGATTTAGCCAATGTGAGGCAGCGATTAGCTGAGCAAAACAGAAGTAACAAACATCTCTTATCACATACTGATTTGTCCTAATGCTTTTAAAAATGGAGATGATAGTGGAACATTCTAAAAGGTGCACATCAGATTTTAACACTTGAACTTCATTGTAAAACAATCAGCTGAATGAATTATCAATTCAAGCTTGTGATGCTGTGATGGGAAATTATTGTTTACTACAATTTCTGACAGTGACCGTACAGTCTGAGTTGAAGGTTTCCTGGTTTTTCCATTGAAGTTGACTAAAATTCTTTGGGACTAAATCAGGTAATTGACCCAAGAAATGAATAAGCCCAACATCGGGGACATCCACCTGCCTTCAGGTTTCATCTTTATTTTACGCCCCAACCTTATTTTCTAATTAATTTCTCTATCTCTCCTGCTTTTTGTCTTTGATCGTTGCCCTGTGAGTTTCTCTTGGAATGTCTTGCTGAACATGAGGAGAGCAGAGAAATGCAACTTATTGCTCTAAGAATGTGGTATCTCCATTCTGTACGGCCTACTGTCTACTGCTAAATATGATCGGAAGTATTGCCACAATCCATGTATCCCCTCAGACTCCTGGGGGCAAAATGGCTGGTTTGCAATACAAAGTGATGCCAACAAGGTGGGTTCAATGCCTGCACTGGCTGAGGTTACCACAAAGGATTCTCCTTCTCAACCTCTCCTCTCACCTGAGGCGTGGTGATCCTCAGGTTAAACCACCGCCAGTTGTCTCTCTATAATGAGAGAGCAACCCAATGTCCTCTGGGATAATGGTGACTCTAACTTACCCTTCAGAATCCTATTAGTTTATTGTTTTCCTTTCTTAGTTTCTTAGCACCTTTATTTAAAGCAAAATAGGCTTTACAAAAGTGTTGGTACTCAGTGGCATAAAGTTTTTACTGTTTTGAAAGGTTGACAGGTTTCTTCATTTATTTAAGGTTTATACAGGATGAGCTGACCAGACAGCAGAAATTCAATGTCATCACTTTCTCAGAGTAGTCGGAGTGAAAACTATATTCATGTGTTGTTACATGGGTGTAATCATTCAGCCTTTATATTTATGTTTCCTCTTGTGAGCATTGAAGTTGATTCTCCTACTTACTAATCAGCTAAAATCTGTACTGTGCCTTGATCATATCTCCAATGTGTCTCAAAGGAGAAACAGAGCAAAAGGAGATTTAGAGAAGTGTCTGAAGACATAGTCAAAGTTTTCTTTTGGGAAGGTTTTGGAGGATAAATAAAGTGCAAACCTCAGAGACAGGGAACTAGACAGTAGGACTAAGATGGTTGAAGGCTCTGTCACTGATTGGTAAGTAAATGGGGAGTTTCAATGCGGTTTGTTGGGAAGTATGTACTAGTGGTAAGCCATTATGGTCAAGAAAGATCTTAAAAGAAACATCCCTTCAGTGGAGAAGAATGGAGACAATATGAACTTTCAGTGAAGGGTTAATGTGGAGGATACTACATTAGGTGGCCATTCTATATCTCTCTCAGTTACCTTTTGTATTGATGGAAGTGGAGGTGCCGGTGTTGGACTGGGGTGGACAAGGTAGAAGTCACATGACACCAGGTTATAGTCCAACAGGTTTATTTGAAATCACAAGCTTTTGGAGTGGTGCCCCTATGTCAGGTGAAGTGCGACTTCTGACCTTTGTATTGAAGTCAGTTGAAAGTGAAAATTGGGCAATGTGATTGAGCTATGTGTTTAACAATTGGCCAATCCAACATTGACTGTTGCCAAAAGATTACATTACCCCACTGTGGTTTACAAATATGGTCTAAGATAATTGCATTCACTGTTGGATTACACCTGAATCATATCATATGAACTTAGCTTGGTAGCGTCACTGTCTGTCTGACAGGAGAAATTTCAGCTGCATTGTTAGCCATTTTAACTTTCACCATTCCATATCAGGTGGACCATGCTGTAACATCACTGAAGCAAATCAGTGGACATAGCTGGGGCAATATTGTTTATGAATATTTATACTACTCATTGTTTTGTGTTCTTTATAGTTTCCTCTATGGAGCAGCATCCAGATGTGGCATGCAGCGTGGTAAATAGAGACAGAGGACAGGGTTGCTTCCATCTGTACTTAGGAAAATAAACTCTGTGTAATATTTTAACATGTACATTGAGTTCCATTCACTAGCCTCCTATTGCAAATCTGATTTTTTTTCTGAATGGTTGATTGCAACTAAGACAGTCAGCACTTTTCAAAATTAAATTTTAAATGTTGCAGTGAAGATGCACTGAGTTTTTTTTAACCTTTCATTTTAAGGAGAGGAGAAAGTCAGATAAAGCATTAAGAAGAAAATGAAAAGGGAATATTAAGGGTTGAAGACAGGTGAACCAAAGTGGATAGCTTTTTTAAGGTGCTAGAACTGCAGTGGGCTGCATTGTCATGGCAGAGGGGGCGGGAATGTCACTAGACTAACAATCCAGAAGCCCAAGCTACTGTTCTGGGGACATGGGATGAATTCCACCAGATGCTGAAAGTTTTATTCAATAATACTGGGCATTAGAAACTGGCCAAATGGCAACCATGTAACTATTATCATAAAAAACCCATCTGCTTCGGGACAGAAATCTGTCGTCCTTACCAGGTCTGGCCTACATTTGATGCCAAGCCCTGAGCAATGTGGTTGACTCTTAGCTGTTCTCTGGGTACATGCCACTAAGTTGTAGCAAAACTGCTATAAAACTGAATAAAAGGCAGACCAACTACCGGCTTCTACCTAGGCACCGGAAACAACTACATCAACCAACGAGAAAAAGTACACGACCTCAGCGTCACCCATCCACCAATCACAGATGAGTTTGTCCATGACAGCATCAGCTGAATTGACCACTGCAGCTTACACAATTTTTGAACAGATCCAACATCTGAACAGTGGGTACCCACAAGGTGCTATGGCTCATCAGCAGAGTTGTGCTGAACCAGAATTAGTAAATTCTTGGCCTGGTATATTCTCCACTCTACCATTGTAATCAAAGCAGGAGATCAACCTTAGTTCAATGAAGAGTGCAGGAGTGCATGCCAGGAGCAGGCACACCTACAATGAATAAAAGCAAAATACTGCAAATGCTTGAAATATGAAATAAAAGCAGAAAATGCATCCATGGGGAGTGTAACAACATTTTGAGTCCAGTGACACTTCTGAATATAGACAAAAAACAATACGGTACAGGAGCAGGCCCTTCAGCCCTCCAAGTCTTCACCAACATACTTTGCCCTTCTATACTAAAACTGTCTTCACTTACAAAATCCATATCCCTCTATTCCCTCTCTATTCATGTATTCGTCCAGGTGTTTCTTGAATGCTGCCATTGTGTCTGCTTCCACCAGCTCCTCTGGCAGCGTGTTCCAGGCACTCACCACCCTTTGCGTGAAAAACGTGCCTCGCCCATCTCTTTTCACCACCCACACCCCTGAACCTTGAACCTGTGTTCCCTAGTAATTGGCCTCTCCAGCCTGGGAAAAATCCTCATACTTTTCACTCTATCCATGCCATCAATAGACAGTTGAGCCCTAATTCACAACTCATCAGTAGGAGTAGGAGCCTGCATCTTGTCTGTAAATTGCAGTGAGTTTCGGAATTACAGCTCTCACTCAATGGAAAATGCGCTAAATAATTTTGCCGCAAGGAAGCGCTGCCCACTCATTGCTTTCTTTCTTGCTTATTGCCACTGCACATGTTCGCCTGAAAATATACTAAAGCTGAAGATCAGTATAAATGCATCTTCAGAACTGGCTGAACCCGTAATGCATACAGCGGGGTAGGACTTTGCAATTCCCCACCACCAAAATTAAAATTTAAAGAGTCTGACAATAAGTGCAATTTGATAAAATAAAAGCAAAATGTGCCGTGAGAATATTTGTAACCTCCCCACCTCTTCCAGGGAACACAATGAGGCTACCTTGGTAATATCTCCACTGCAAGAGGAAGAATACAGTTTCTTTGTCGAGTGAATTCTCGCTACAAATTCGAAACTACATGGCTCACTCTAATCTCCAATGCACTGGATTTTACAAAATAAGTAGTTGGGAAAGCTGAAGGCAGCAAAAAGGCACCAAATGTCAAAAGAAACCAAATTCTAAACGCATGCAGTATAATAATTTAGCAACTAGGTTTAATCCGAAGCAATCAGAAATTGAAAGCGATTCGGGAGACTTCCATGTTTTTAAACTCGATCTAAAATGAAAGCGTGTTATCAGTAGTGGCGCTAAATGGGAGATATTAGAGGCTTCCTGGACCAGAATGTATTACCACACTGTACCTTTTAGTGGTGCTGCTGTACATCATTGCTCTGTTATAATGACAGTGTTGTTACATTAAGTTCGATATTAGAGATTGCCTGTAGCCTGAATATTTAGCATGTGGTCTGCGAATGACTTGTTAAACTAAACCCATCAAGATGATTGATCCCTCTGTTCCTCTACCAGGAGGAACATTGAACAGGTGAAGGGACATAATGGGGAGGGTTTTACCTAACCAGTAAACATTGGCCACGCTGTCTGACGGGCCACAAGGAGCACTTGGGACCTCAAGAGCATTCTGCAAAGATAGATATATTGTGGAGGTGCCATGTTGGACTGGGGTGGACAAAGTCAGAAGTCACAGGAGTGTGTGAAATGAACTTCCTGAGGAAATGGTGGATGCACGTACAGTTATGATGTTTAAAAAACATTTAGATAAGTACATGAATAGAAAATGTTTGGAGGGATATGGGCCAAGTGTAGGCAAGTGGGACTAGTTTAGTTTGGGATTATGGCCGGCAATGACTGGTTGGACTGAGGGGTCTGTTTCTGTGCTGTATGACTCTATAATTTTCCAAAGATCCTTGGATTCTGGAGAAGTACTAGAGGATTGGAAATGTGCCAATATGAGACCCCTAATCAAAAAGAGATGGAATCAAAAAGTGGGTAACTATAGGCCAATTAGCCTAACGTCTATTGTTGGAAAATGTATTGGAATTCAATTATTAAGGGAATAATAGCACATTTGTCAAAACATAATCATATAAGCAGAGTCAGCATGGATTCATGAAAGCTTGTAGAAACAGAGTTGTACAACGCAGAAACCAACCCTTCAGTCTGACTCATCCATGCCAACCAGATATCCTACATTAACCTAGTCCCATTTGTCAGCAGTAGGCCCATGTCCCTCTAAACCCTTCCTATTCATATTCCCATTCAGATGCCTTGTAAATGTTGTAATTGTACCAGCCTCCACCATCTCCTCTGGCAGTTCATTCCAGACATGCACCACCCTCTGGGTGAAAAAATTGCCCTTCAGGTCCTTTTAAATCTTTCCCCTCTCACCTTAAACTTATGCCCTCTAGCTTTGGACTCTCCAACCGTGGGTAAAAGACCTTGGCTATTCACCCTATCCATGCCCCTTATGATTTTAGAAACCTCTATAAGGTCACCCCTCAGCCTCCAATGCTCCAGGAAAAATAGCCCCAGACTATTCAGCCTCTCCCTATAGCTCAAACCCTTCAATCTGGCAATATCCTTTTAAATCTTTTATGAATCCTTTCAAGTTTAACAAAATTCTTCATATAGCAAGGAGACCAGTATTCCAAAAATGGCGTAAATTGTACAGTGTCCTGTATAGCCGCAACATGACCTCCCAACACCTATACTCAATGCAATAACCAATAAAGGCAAGAATTCCAAATGCCTTCTTCACTACCCTGTCTACCTGCGACTCCACTTTCAGGGAGTTATGAACCGGCACTCCAAGGTCTCTTTGTTCGGCAACACTCCCCAGGACCTGACCATTAAGCATATAAGTCCTGCCCTGATTTGCTCTACCAAAATGTAGCACCTCACATTTATCTAAATTAAACTCCATCTGCCACTCCTTCTACAGAGAGAAATTCTAGACACCATACTTTAGCAAGGACAAAGGCTTAACGTGTTGACTGAAGTTAACCAATAAGATGGGTCCAGTGGATCACCATGGAGGCTCCCTGAAGCAGATGGACTGGATGTGAGATGATAGAGGTGTTTAAAAATGATGAAAGATTACGATATTTTCAATGTCTGAAGGGCTGATGAACAGAGAGCACAGATTTAAGTGATTGTCAAAAAAACTAGGAGCAGCATGAGGTAAATCTTTTTTACACAAGTTAATGGTTATTGTTTAGAATGGACTGCTTAATAGGATGATGCATGCAAGTTCAATCACAGCCTTCCAAGGGAAATTGGATAAATAGAAGAAAAAAAGTTTCAAGAGAATGAAGCAAGAACAGAGGAGTTATTTTCATAAAATGTATCTTCACATACATACCTTTTTACTCCCTCTTCGAGGAATGGAGGATTCCCAAGTTGATTATTCATCCTTAAACTGCAGCATGAATAAAGGCAAAATACTGCGGACGCTGGAAATTGGAAACAAACACTGGAGAAATTCAATACCCCCATTCTGTCTGCAGGAATGACCCTGACCTTCCATTTGCTCACTATTTCAGTAAGCCACCTTAATCTCATGCAACCATTTCTGTCCTGGGCCTGCTACAATGTTCCAATGAAGCATAACGCAAGGTCGTGGAACAACACCAGATTTTCTTTCTGCTTAGGCCTTGTGGTCTCAACATTGAATTCAGTAACTTTAATTATCCATTTTTCTTACATTCCCTTCCCCACTACTTGCTTCACAACGGTGTCATGCATCTTTTTACTTTGCATTTAGTAACAAGGATTAAATTTCTCCCTTTCACACCTTAATTCACCATCTTTTTCTTTCATTTTCCATTATTAACAACCCCTTTGTCTTTTATATTAAGTCTTCATACCACCTGCCCTCTTTTGCTCCTCCTCTGCCTCTGTCAAAAGTATAAAAGATAACTTATTGTCCAGCACCTTTCAATTCAGAAGAGGAGTCACACCAGGTTTGAAACATTGACTATGTTTTTCTCTCTCCACAGATGTTACTAGACCAACAATATGAATACTCTTTCCATGGCCAACCAG